GGTCGCCGTGTTCATTATTTGATATCTGGCCCCAGGCAAATCACTCATCCTCTCTCTGAGCCTCCATATCCTCATCTACCCTGACTTCCTTACACAGATCTCCTCATGAGAATCATACGAGCTACCTGCTGGAAATGGCTTTGTGAACAGCAAAAGCCTCTGCAAGAGGAGGGCAGGGGTCTCTGCCTCCATCTCTGTATCTAATCAGACCTTCCGGAGCCCTCCAGAGTGGTCCTACTTGCGTGGCCTCACTCCCTCCTGCTTTCTGCACTAGCCATAGATAGATGGTTTTCTGACTGTTTTACACACGAAGGGATTCACCTGTGTTATCTTTGCCACACAATTATAAGCACCTGAGGGACAGGGACTTTTGGTTCCTTGGGGGTTGTCTCTAACACTCAGCTGGGTACACCGAGGCAATGCCACCTGCTGACTCCTGGCGCCTTCATCATCGCTGCCATCACCTCCATCACCCTCTCCTTGAATAATCTGACCAGAGAAATCGCAGGATCAGTCAGGCCAGGCCTGGGAAGCAGAGATGGAAAGGACCCCTCCTAAGATCCATCCCAGCCCACAGCTTCCCACTCCTGTGTATTACCTTAAAGGGAATCTATGTGTTATTAACAAACTCTCATAATGTCCCCAAATCCACAGAGTTCATCACTCCAGCCCTTGAAACTCTCCCATCAGCTCCTCCTCTTCTGTACCTCTCTCCCAACATGTCCTGGGAGGGTAAAGGAGCAATCATCTATCAAGGCTTGGCGGACAGAGGCAGCCTCGGAGGGCCTGAGTCACTGGCTAGGAGGATGGTGGAACTTCCCTGGTAGGTTACTTCGAAGGTGTCCTGCAGGGCTACAGAGACCCCCACCCCAGCTCCCCTGCCCCCTCACCACCCCTTCTGCCCACCCCACAGCCTTCAACTCAAGGTCTCCCTCTGCCGCCTCTCCTCATCCCTGTCCACCCCTGCCAGGAAGGAATCAGAAAGTCTGTTCTGTATGAGAGAAATTATCGGGTAACCAGTCATCTCTCACACACAGCCACGACCAGGCTGAGCAAGGATCCCCGAGCCTCTGTCTCCTCCCGCAGCCCCTCAGCCACTTTGTTGCTGTTGTTGTTGTTTGTTTGAGAGAGTCTCGCTCTGTCGCCAGGCTGGAGTGCAGTGGTGTGATCTCGGCTCACTGCAACCTCTTCCTCCAGGGTTCAAGTGATTCTCCTGCCTCAGCTTCCCGAGTAGCTGGGACTACAGGCGTGTGCCACCACACCCAGCTGATTTTTATATTTTTGGTAGAGTTGGGGTTTCACCATGTTGGCCAGGATGGTCTCAATTTCCTGACCTCGTGATGCGCCTGTCTCAGCATCCCAAAGTGCTGGCATTGCAGGTGTGAGCCACCGCAACTGGCAGCCATTTTTATTTTCTCTTTCTTTCTTTCTTTCTTTCTTTCTTTTTTTTTTTTTTTTTGACAGTGTTTCACTCTTAAACACTGGAGTGCAGTGGCACAATCTTGCCTCACTGCAAACTCCACCTCCCAAGTTCCAGTGATTCTCCTGCCTCAGCCTCCCAAGTAGCTGGGATTACGGGTGCGACCCACCATGCCTGGTTAATTTTTATATTTTTAATGGAGACGGGGTTTCACCATGTTAGCCATGCTGGACTCAAACTCCCAACCTCAGGTGATCCACCCACCTGGACCTCCCAAAGTGCTGGGATTACAGGCATGAGCCACCACACCTGGCCCCATCAGCCATTTCTAACTGGAGGGGATTCCCCGGGTGCACCTGAGGCTGCTCCAAGTCAAGAGAGGACACTGTCAGACAGCCCCCTGGATTCCCTCTCTCCTGACCAGGGCTGGCAGCATGTGCAGTGCCCCTGTGAGGCTTGGAAAGACCCATTCCTCCAGCAGATAAAGCCCCCAGGAGGAGGG